CAAATGTATTCCTTTTCCTCCCCGTGCTGATGCATGCTGTGCATCCATAGCAGGTGCCACTTCTGCTCTTCGATAAAAACACAAGAGCGAATTTTGTGGTGTCTGCACAGTCCTCTATTATAAATTTCCTCTCTTTGGGTATCATATACCCTAGGTATGTTTGTCTCGCCACATTCTTGTGTTGGATCTCAGTCAATGAGTAGGCTTCTACACCAATTTTTGTCTTCATTAGCAACTGTAGGAGACTGTCCACACTAGCTAAGCAGGTCCAGTGGAATTCACTCTTTCTTTGACACTAAATTGAATCAAGCTTGAGACAAGACTTACAAAATCTGGAATATCTTGTTTGTTATCACAGGGGGGAAAAAAAAAAAAGTGTTCTGCTTTACATTCTTCTACTTAAGTTTTTAAAGAGCTTAATGATCTTCTCAATTTTCTAGATGATAAGGTATGTTGATGGCAAGCAGAAGAAAGGAGTTGGAGCTGGGTGTTTTTGTGTGTGGGCACAGTGTTTCTTTCACTTGTGAGTTGGGAATGATGATTATGATGGAAATAGCCAACTGTGTTTTGCTTCATCATAATCTGTATACTTGTATTGGAGTATCAAGTATGTTTTGCAGTATTTGCATTTGTGGAAGCTCCACGTTGCCTGGTGATCCAGTACCGTGAAAATAGGAAAGATTTATTGCAGGCAGTTTGAGAGAGCTGAGACTAGTAATTGATTTTGCAGTTAGAGAAAGAGCAAAGTAAAATTATTATTTCTGTAATGATTCTTTATGAAAGTAAGAAAATAGTCATCAAGTACTATATTCGTTTATTCTACAGGGTTTTCCGCTAATCCTTTTAATTTACTCTTTGTGATAATATTGCCCTTAATTTCATCTGAAGGGTTTAAAGTGCATTGTGAAATGAGTTGTGTGCAGCTGAGTCTCACTGCTGTATCTGGTTTCCCTGACAAGTGCTTGTCTTGGGTGTCTAGCTAGGAAGTCTGTGGCTATGGGAGGAGCCCTGTGCTCACCTAAGTAATCGTCTGTATTACTGAATTTTAATTACTGGCATAGAGATTTGCTTTAAAAAACCAAAGAACATAAAATGCTTTCCTTAGTTGTAAAAGCTTGATGTGATGAGCAGGCTTCTTTTCTATCCTAGAGGCGTATTTCACTTAATTTTTCCTTTGGATTAATTTACCTGTCTGCATATTTAAATGACAAACTGCACAATCTTTTCTGAAGACAGCAGTTGCACAGAGGCCTGATTATTTCATATGCATGGCTGCTACTGTTGGATTTATGCCATTTATTACAGTGAGTGATTGCATCAGCATCTTTCAGCGTTTTTTTCGTATAGTATTTTTAAATGGCTTTGCCAAAATGCCATCTGTCTCGACAGGTGAAAATGAATAGCTTATTGAAACAGATGGCAAATCAGATTAATATTGCCCAGAACCATCGTTTCCTTGCTTGGATGTTCATAAGGTAATGTCCACTGGATTTGTTGTCTTTGCTTGGAAAGCAGAACAAAGTCAAAATTATTTATTTTTTTTTTTAAGAGCCTCTTTTTGTAGTGTTTTGAATGTGTAAGTTAAGCAAAATTACCTTTCTTAATGTCATTTTTTATTCTGTCAAACAGTTGAAATGAACATTATTCATAATTGTGAGAACAACTTCCATTTGTGTAAAACAGGTTATTAATAGTCAGAGATGTGCAAACCTCTCTTGGGTCTCTGGGCCCTGTTCTACTTTGTTTCTGGTCTTCCTTGAATCTGACTGTTGTTTTCTATGGTTCTGAACTGTAAAATGATGGAAACAACTGCTTGCTTCTGTTTGGGTATCGCTGTCAGTGAACATTACGATCTGTATTTGCCAAGAACTTTGGAAGACTTTAAGAGATGCTGCGCGAGAGCATGTTACTGCCTTGAGAAAAGCCTCTAGCATCTGCTTAAACTGAACTTCTGCAGGAAGCACTAAACTTAACAGAACTCTGAGGGATTCTGATGTGCAGATTTTTACCATAAAATGTTTCTACTCCCACTGCCTTTACCAAAACTTCAGTGAATATCATTGCCATTTTCTGCTGGAGTTTGTTCACCTCATGGAGGCTTGCGAGTAGAGACATTTTTGGAAATACTCTCAGTACCATCAAAAGATGATGCTGCTTAGGGTGGGAAGAACGTACTGGAAGTTGTGTTGGGTAAATCTGTATGCTTCCCAGCTATTTATTTAAGACCGAAAGAGTTAGATCGGTCTGCCCATACCTATACATCAGTCATCCTGAAGAAAATTCATATGCTTCCCATCCTTTTAAATAGTTGGGATGACCTCCCCGTAAGTTGAGAAACATTGATCTGTGACTTCAGATGCCTGTTAAATGCCTTGCATTAGCATTTGCTCTGATGTCCATGTTTGTTGGTATTGAGAACTGTTTATTACAGTAATTTTCTATTTTCTATTTCTGCCTGTCATCCTTTTACAGGTAGCTACATTTCCAGGGTTTATTTTTATACGTGTGTATACATACAAACATACATAAAAAATAATGCAGTATAATATAACTGAATCTGAAGGTTTTAAATACTTTCTGTGTTTACATCTCTGATTAAGTAATAAAACTGCCTACCTGCAGCTTTCCCTAACATAAAAAGCTGTTAGTGTCTTGGCTGCAAACTGGCAAGCCTAATTTTTGTGCTCTGAAAACCTTGGAGAACATCCTAGTACGCGTAGTCTCTGAATGTGTTCAACTTCCCTGTCATCTTCAGTTCGTCAGCATGGAAAAACTATAATTTCATCAGTTAAACGGACAAATAGCTGGTAATGCTGGTGATGATTTTTCCAGAGTAGGGGGTTTTTTTGATAGGACTGTTCTAGGAATGTTTTGTTCCACAGAGTTTTTATAAGTGTAACTTATTTCCAACTAGGCTCCTGATGCTGTTGTTAATAAATTTAAAAACAAACAAACAAACAAAAAAACCCAAACAAAACCCCCCACCTTTTTAAAAATGGTGCATTCTTGTGCACTGTTCTTGCTTTTCAGACTGTTTTCTGATGTTTCGGCAGTTTGTTCCTATTATGCGTTACTCACATAATAGGCTTGTCTGTTAGAGCCTATCCATGTATGAAACACACATTCTTAGCTGAATTTTGTATCTTTGAGAATCAGCAGGTACAGATATCTTTAATGCATCGCTTTTCTGTTCTGCTTGCCTTGGGGACGTTATCAGATACTGTGAGACTTGAGACTGCTGACATCATTTTGTGTACATAACTGTGGTGTTTTACTTCTCTGTGCCAGTGGTAATGAACACCGCACAGTGAATGAAAAAGGTTTTATTTGATTAAACCAATGTGCTTGCAACTGATGTGAATCTTTGGAGCGTGGCTTTGTTTTGGGAGCAGAAAGAAGTGTTCCAGTTCCAGTGTTTCCAGTGTTTGCTGCCCCAGTTGAGTCCCTCTCAACTCAAAATCGGGCAAAATATTTTTAGTGCTCTATCTGCTGTCTCCATATTTCGAGCCATGGACTAGACTGAAATAGCAACCTTCATGTTTTCACTCCTCTTCACAGACAAATAAGGACGTTCTGTTAGCATCTCCCCCCTCCCCGAGCAGTTTACGCAGGCGCGGGCACCCTGCGCAACGTGCTCCTTCGCCGTGGCTCCAGCTGGAGGTGTGGGGGGATCTCCAGAATTTCTGTGGGTAGAAGAAAAGTTCCAAATCGAGCAGCTCCGGCTGAGTCAGAGGCAGAACTGTGCTGCGCCGGTGGCTGTTGGTATCTATCCTTCCTGGGGTGTCAAAACACTTGGACTAAAGAGGATGGAAGATGAAGATGGTCATGCCCTTTCAGTGTCCTTTAATTCTTTTAGTTTGGCGGCAATAAGTTCTGCTTTAATACTGGAAGCAATATCCAGTACAACATGAACTTCTTTCTGTCAGATTGATTTCCTTCTTAAACTGCAAACTCAAGCTCCCATTTTTTTTCAGTTATTCTACAAGAGTTTACATAAATCTGTGGGGTAAACAGAGCAATTGTAGGGATGCATCATTGTTTCTGCAATACGGGAGGCGGGGATGCGCTCACCTATTCTATGTCAGTGTTACGTTTGAGATACCGATTGCTGTAACAAGATATGTTTTTCTGGGATTTCATAATTGGCTGTAAAACAGTGATTAAAAACCTGTCTCTAAGAAGTTGAGTACAGAAAAAGAGAAATAGCTCAAGTCTTCTGAGGATCTTTTTTGTCAGCTTGATCTTGCACATCCCTTTTTAAAATGAAATGTTCTCTCTGTGGTGCTGTATTTTAGGCTGTCCTTTGCCCAGCGATGCTACATAGCAACTCGATTAATGTGTGGCAGCGAGGGGGAAGGGGCACGTGTTATCAAGGTCTTTCTCTTATAGATGGTGTGTATTTGGTTTCCCATAAGCATCGCTTAATTCTCACCCAACTGGTATTCCTATAGAAAGAACTTGCCTTGTTAACCACCATAAAACAGTGTTTGGTAAACTAGCTCTGAAGCAGTGTTTTGAGATGTTATTACCTGGAACCGAGTCTCAGCTTTTATTGTTAATTATATTTTTTGAAGGGGTGAGCAGAAATGACAAGGATTAAGAAGAAATAAAATCAAATACTTCCTTCTGTAATACTCCTTTCCAAACTGTCCTAGGCACTTGGTACACATCAGGCTCAGTTAACATTAATTAGCCACGAGTCACGGAGCCCGTTCCCCTTTTTCTGTCTTCTCAGTGCTTTGTGTGTTCTCCTGAGCATCTGCTCTTGCATACAGTTAGGAAATGCTACTCCAGAGGACACTACGTGCATCTTCTCCAAAGACTCTCATTATATGTACCAAGTCTATGTAGTAGCAAAAAGTGACAACATCCTGAAATAAGACATTCTGAGGCCAAATTTGTTAAGGTTTGTATTACGGCGATCAGTGATTTAATCATCTAAAATAATACTTAGTGCTTGTTACTTTTTTTAACTTGATGTTTTTTCTTTTGTCTTTCAGCTCAGATCGACTGATAGAAGAAACAATAAGGTAGGAATGAACTTACTAATTTGCATTATTTTCTGTACAATCAGTGTTTGCACTGAATTGTGTCTAAAGATATCAGTCATTTTATTTATACAATAACTGTATTGTTTAAAACTCGTATGCAGTATTGCAATGAAGTGGTGGTGGGGTGGGTTTTTTTTTTTTCTATTCAGTGTTGACATAATGGTGTTGCTTAAATATTTTATTCATCCTAGTTTGGAAAATTTGCGTTTCTGTTCAAAGGTGAATAGCCCCTACAAAAAGAAAGGGAGTGATCAAGCAGAGCGAATCTCGGGCTGAGCTGTTGAGGGCTATTCCAGTAGTCAGCTGTTTCTTCTCACAGTGACACTTTTCTGCATCATGGTTTTCTATAATCCTTCAATGTATTCAGCACCCTAGTGTGCAGCTGATATAGGTATGGGCTTTTACCACAACGGCTTGAGAGGTTATTGCTGTTGTATAGTTATTTATCTTTCGGGTTTTTTTACATAGTTTGAATATTTGAGTGATATCTTCTCTAACTGATCTAGAAATTTTGGAACCATAGCATCATAAATTACTTTTATCATCTGTGCCCTTCCCAATCTTCCGTTGAACTCTGGGATTTTGCAAACCAATAATTCAGAGTGCCTGACTTAATGGTTTTAAATTTTAGATTATTGCTTTAAAAAAAAAAAAAAAGGAAGAAAGCAAGCAAGATACACTTTCAGATAATGCATGTACTGGCATAAGTGATCAAGAAGAGTAATTAGAGGTACAGCAAGGCTCTGTGTCCATTAAGGGCTGGCTAGCTTAAGTACACACAGTGGGCTCAGTATAATTAACATGGTGGAAGAATGTGTTAAACCACTTTAATGTGCAGCGATGAACCAGAAGTGGTCAGTACAATAATGCCTGAAAATGTGGATATAATCTGACCGCAGCCTCATAAAGATATTTGCCAAACTTAGCACAGTTATTGTGAATATTTGTTTTACTTTGGGTTCTAGTCCTTTCCTGATTAAAAATCCTGTCCTTTATTGCCATGCTTGTAGGCCTACTTTCCGTCTCGTAAAACTGCTCAATGTTTGAATCTCTTATTTTAGGAATTGGAACGGGCTTCCCAGGGAGGTGGTGGACTCACCATCCCTGGAGGTGTTCAAAAAACGTTTAGATGTGGCGCTTCGAGATGTGGTTTAGTGGGTTTAGCGGGCATGGTGGCATCGGCTATACAGTTGGACTTGATGATCTTTGAGGTCTCTTCCAACCATAATGATTCTATGATTTGCTGCCACTCCAGTAACTAGAGCATTAAACAGCATATGGTGGTTTACTAAGCTTAATATCCTGCAGAATGACTCGTATTTTATCATTTGAGCTCTTCACCTAACCTCTTGATTACGTGTCATCAGAGGAACTGAGAGTATGTGTATGCGTGAGAAGTGTACCTCTGTCGATGTACCTGTGCAAGGCAACGTAGCCATGACAAACTGGAGCTCAGAACAGGGCAGCTACCTGAATACTCACCCGGGCTCCTCCACCAGTTTTGGGCCTGCTCAGAAGCTCCACGGTGTCATCAGTAGGTGTCCTGGTTGGTTGAAAACTGCTTTGAGTTTCATTTGCGTGAGCTGCAGTCCTGTGGTTGAGTACAAATTGACCGTCTTCGCAGGAACTACTTCTCGTGCAGCAATCCCTACCGCATGGCTTGGGTCAGAGCTCCTCGGTGCTCTTTACTGAAAGCATTCCTTCTGTTAATTTATTAACTTTGATTTTTAAGAGACTGGATTTCAGCACTCCTCCTTGCACTGTTTATTGTCTACAGTAAGTGAACTTCTTGTAGCTGTTGCCAAAACTGTTCTACATTTCTTTTTGTAGAAAAAGAGCTTGTTTAGTAACTACATTGAGCAGGAAATGTAATTCCATTTATATAATCTTAATTCAATTCCGACTCTGTTGAAACCAGGATGAATTTTTTGGTTTACTGTTTTTCTTGTCATCCCCAGTAATCGCAAGTATTCAGGTATGATATTAATTGGTGGCACACCCTGCTGGATTTTAAGTTAATTTACCAGATGGAAATTTACCCAACTTCTGATGATCACTTGCTTTATCTGTTGTAAACCAAATAAAAGAGGGAATTGTGCAGGGGAAGCTGTTTGAGTGCAGATTCCTTGAGCAAAGTGAGATGTAATTAGCTCATTCTGGCTACTAATACTGCTCTGTCTTCAAGGTTTGTATCTGCTGTAGTTCATTACTCATTATTTGGGTGTAATTCAGGAAGTCAAGAAATTACTTTCCATTTTTTTAGGGGTTGTTATTAAGCAGTGATTCTAAACACTGGAAAGCATTTTTCTATGCGTGCAGAGGCTTTTGTTGACAAGCTGCATAGCAGTGACCCCGTTGCCAGTTAGCACGAATTGTGAAACCCTTGCTCTAACCTTGCGTAGAGAAGAGAACCGAAGAAGCGCCGACCCTGACTCTTCCTGTGTGTGGTTCCTCCACGGGAGCAAACATAGGTGCAAGAGAATATATGGGCACCAAAGCTGAAATGATTCAGTAACTACAGTGATGAGTAGGGCTATCATTCCAGATGTTTTGTTAGTATTAAACTTTTCATCAATTTTTAAGTGAATTACGTGACGTGGGTTCTTACTGCAGCATATTTCTTTCCAGAAACGAGTGGGAGGTGATACTTTGTACTGCAGTTCTTTTGGAACAGTGTTCACTTCTCTTGGCCAGATTTAAATACAAGCATAGATTTTGCTTAATATGTTTGGTATTCTCGGGTTTTCATTTTCAAACATTGTCACTTTTCCAAAATAGCAAATGATTTATTTCTTGTTTTCCAACAACTTACATTTTTAGGTTGGCTCAGTTTGAGTTTTTTTTTTTTTACAGTTTTGCATGTATACTGTGGCAAGTTCTTAAGATTTTATTGTAAAACTGTTTCTGAGGCCTAATTGAGGCTGATTTGTCAGTGTTGGTATATTAACAGATTGGACTACTCCACTTCCACTCTGAAGCCAGACCAAACCATAGATTTAAGTTGAAAAAATATCATCTCCTTATGTATTTGGGTTATTTCTTTAGGTAATAATTAGGATTTAATAAAAGGGAAAAATTAATTTGCATTGAATCTTGACTTTACAGAAAGGAAAGGCATGAGTTAGATTTTGAGTCTTAGCACTTTTCAGAAGAGCCTTGCCAGAGTGTCTAGGCAAAATCACTTGCATTCCTGGAGAAATGTTCCTTTTGTTTTCATCTTAGGCTTCATCAAAAGACACAATAGTCTTTAAAGTAATTTGAAAGATTGTGTGTGTACATATGCATATATATATACACACACGTGTATATTTATAGATATGAACATATAGGTACATGTGTATATGCAAAGAATAAGTGATATAATCACAATTTTTACCAATTTAAAACTAGAGCTTGCATTTGTATGCAGAGTCACAGAGTCCATTCCTTTAATCATAGAGGTTGTCGTGAATTTAAATGAGCAAGTATGATTCATGGAGTACAAAATGAAGCAGAAGTTCCAGTAATACATGAATTATTTAATTTTTAAAAACATGTCTTGTTCCTTTAGAGTTTTGTTTTAGTTCTCCATCAATGTAGATTTGACTGAGCTGTCTCAATGGATGAAGCAAGGAGTTGACTTTTGGTATGTTTGGCTTGATAATCCCCTGTATGTATATGGCTGCTACGTGGGGGGAAAGTACCTGACAGCTTAGACATTTGTCTGGGTAAAAACACTTTGCTTCTGAGTCAAGCGGCATTAAAAGTGTGTCTCTGAGTGTGATAATGGCTGGAAGTGTCTATTACTCTGTACGTACCAGTGAAAACTGCAAAGCGTGTACAAATAGCAGTTGTTTTACTTTTGAAGAGAAACGTGGTTGCTTGCATACCCACAGCACTACTGAACATTCAAGGGCAAACTCGAAATGTAAGTGAAATTTTGAGGAAATATGGGTGCAAGCACAGGAATTTTTTTTCTGCGTATGTGTGGGAGAGATGGGTGGGCTCTTTGTGGCTGTGACCTTGGGCTTACCCAGAAGAGATTTCTCCAGTAGTGCACCAATGTGTAATATTGTGCTTCAGCAGTGCTTTAATATTAGAGAGCAGAATACCATCTGGTTTTAGAAACTTGGTTTACACCCAACTCTAGTAGTTCAAGCCAGTGCAGCACCGAGAATAGTTCGTGCTAGCTTCCAAATGAAACTGTTAAATCAGGGTCATCTTGATTCCAGTGAGAAGCATTTAATCTTTTATCATAAATGTTGTGCAGAAGTTTCTAAAGGTAAGAAAAAGGTATTCTTGATCTGGGGAGATTACCATGTGAAGTAACTAGATGGGACCAATACTGTGAATAGGAAGAATATGATGAATTTTTTTTTTACATGCATTTGTCAGCAAAGAAATGGCAACAGTAAGTCATTGAGCATATGTTAGGGATGGGAATGAAACCAAAACAATCTAATGAGGGATATGAGGAAGCTGCAGTACTTAAGACTGTACAGGACCAATCAGTGGACCAGTCCCCAGGAGCTATGTGTTTTCTGGTAGTTCTTAAATTTATTATCTCATTTATAGATATAAAGGCTTAGGTAAACCAGCTCGTGTTTTGAGTAATCAAATTATGCATGAAGAACAGTGCTTTTTACTTGAATTTTGACTTGTTAATGGTAGCTAGAATCCAGTTAAATGCTTGTTCATGGATATCGCAATTACATTTCATTACTGGACCATATCATATTAAAAATGGTAATCGCTACAATTTTTTTTTTCTTCAGAGCTCTTCAGTAAAACCTAGCCCATTGAGCTAAATTTTTCAAAATACTGGGTGAAAGAAATGAATAAATATTCCAAGCTTGTAATATGTAAACTTAACCACTTTTTATATGAAATGGACGGTTTTGCTCCTCAGATGTTAAAGCAAGAACCTTGTGTTCCATGGTGATCTGTAATAATTATTTCCAAAGGCATTTTGGAGGTGTCTCAGGAACACTTTAGATCCTGGCAGTCATCTTGTATTTTCACTTCTGTAAATTAATGGATGCCTTAATGAGTCATTGGATGCATCTTATGAAAACATGTGGCTTAATTCAGGAGTGCTTTGAGAAATGCTGTATTAAAACTTCATCTGGACAAGTACCAAGTCAGTTTGCGGGTGTAAGGTAAGAAGCTGTAGGTTACTGAGCAAGCTTTCCTGTGTACAGCTAGGAAATCTTTTTTTTCCAACTTGGTTCCTAGTAACTCAAAATTTCCTGAGTGCTCTTCTCAATAGCAAGTGTAATGTTTTTGCAAGTTTACTGTTTTGTACTTTAAAGGAGTAAAATACCCGTATGCTGAGTTGTAAATGTATATAATCTGTCAAATGCCATATCTTCTCACATGTGATACTATTTGAGGTACTTACTGTTCTAATTTTGTAGCCCCTTTTCCAGCCCTTGATGGTAACTGCTTTTTCTGTATTCTATTGATATACAGCTGTTTAGTCTCTGTTCAGAATTTCTGTTAACACCTTCTCTTAGATGGTTTTCTTAGTATACTCATGCACTGTTGAGTAGGCAATGATTTGATTCTTCGTTTCTCCTCTAATCTAATTTTCACTTTCTTTTAGTATCATTTTAGTCCTGAAAGCTGCCCCATGCAATCAAATAAATCACTTGCATTTATGGGTTAGATATAGTTAGTATATCCAGAGGAACAAGCATGCACAACGTACTGAGTGACAGTATTACACAGTCTAAGAGGAGAGGCTTTGTAGACTTTATTCTGTTGTTTTTGTAGAAATGAAGAGTGCTAGTTAACTGATTCTGGCAACCCCTTTATAAACACCAAGGTGGCGGCTGCAAGCCCTGTTGCTTCCAGTTAACTATGAGTTTCATTTTCACTTTGCCCTGATTTGGCATTTCAAAAGTATAAAAGGAAAAATGCTACATAGCTGGTTGTAAATAAAAAATACTTGAAGGTTTTTCATGGTTCTGCCCTGAAACCTCCTTTTTTTTTTTTTTTTTTTTTTTTTTAAAAATCTAATGCTTCAAAACTTAGTATTGAAATGTTAAATCTGTTCTCATAGAGCTGCTGAGTGAAAATGTCAGGGTTTTGCCTACATGTTATCAAACTGTTTATATTCTCTTTAAGACTGATAAACCTTCCATTTCCTAATGTATGTCCAGGTTTACCAGAGTGCTAATATAACCTTAAAATAATATATTGATCTGCCCTGTCAGTGCATGTGGTTCTATTCAAAAGAATTCACTGTATAGAGCTTTTGGAAGAGTCTTTTCTGTGACCTGGAAGCTATGAGAGCCGTAGGCTGGCCCTTCTGCCACCTGTGTCTCACATACATTTGTGTGATGAACTTGTCTTGCTTTCCAAGGTATTCTGCTACTCTGAAAACCAAAATCATACCACTTATAACACTCGGGCTCTGGCTTCGTGGTCTCTTAGGTTTTTTATGGGCAAAACCAGAGTTGCATAAGGCAGCCTCCACCTGAAGAGGTGGTAGCAGATTTTTTTTCCTTTTTTTTTTTCCTTTTTTTTTACCCCCCTCAAAGTTTGCTTGGCACATTATAGGAAGGTTGAAGATACTGTATCAAGGGCTACTTGAGATGGAACAGGCAGATTTAATGGAAAGGAACCCAAAGGACCTCACTGCTCCAGAAATAGTTTAAAGATCATTGATCTGGGATGTTTTCTTCTTTAAGATGTTTGTGAACTGTGATTCTGATCTTTCGCTCCAAGTCTTGAAGGGCAGTTGTTAGGCTTGGCTCTGCTGGGTTTTGCCAGCTGTTCTTGTGATACTGGCTGTAGTGTCCTGGTAGGGAAGCCAGCGGAACATCGGATGATCCAGAGCTGCTCATTCCAAATGTTGTTTTGTTCAGAGAGAAACTTAAAATAAAATGTATCAAATGGATTTTGTTATAAAAATGTGTAGGAATGCCTGTTCTGTGTTTAGTAAGTGTACAAATATAATTTGTGTGTGTGACTTTTCCTACCAGATTTACCTGGAAAGATACTCTAGGGTGGATAAAGGCCCTTTCTTTATCACCTTCCAGTACTGAAATACCAGGTCAACCTAAGTACATTAGTACTAATACCTGGACAAATGATTTTTCAACATTTTAACTCTTACAGAAAGATAAGCCCAAAGCCCTGAAACCCAGATGAATTGAGTACAGAACAGCTTGAGAACCAGAGGTATTGGACAAGTGCATTCAGAGAGCTCAACAGTAAATATCAAGGCTTTATGTGAAATGCAATGTCTGGTTTGTATTGCAGAACTTGAGATAACGTTAGGCTTGCGCTGTGCGTTTCGGTGCTTTGTACCTGCCCCTCCTTAGAAATAATGCTCACGTTAGCTGGGATCTGTGTGTCGTGTTTGTATACAGACACTGAGTGTGAGGAAGCATAAAACGCTCTTGAAAATTTGAATGTCTGTATTGGGTAAAAGAAGCATTTTGCATTTTCCTATCTGTTCTCCTCCGAAATTACGGCTTTAGTTCCCTTTTCTCCTATTTATATGTTGTTTATGTTGTATTGTGTTCTTCCACTTTACTTTTATTCTTCCAGATCACTTTCCCTCCATATTTAAGGCTCACAAACTTGTCCAAGAGTGTGTTTTAATTGTTGTTGTTCATATAGATATAGTCAACGGCAATATAGGTGTCATTTTCTGAGTTATTACCCAGCCGCATTATGTCTATGTCCTACTTTGTTTATTTTTGAAATGCATGCCAGCCAAGGAGAGCCGTATTTGTCCTACTGTTCCTTCTTAAGCACGGTATCTCCAGAGCCTGAACTTTTGTATACCGTTCCTCTAGATGTAAATGAGTCTGTGCAGTTTGTCTTGACAAAGCTGTTGCATTCGAAGTAGCTACATGAAATACTACCTGGGGCTACAAGTAGTAGCTTAGCCTTTCGTTTTCCATCCTATAACTCTTTGTTTTATGAGCTGAAGAGAAAGTTAAGGTAGAGAAAATTTTTTGTTGGCTGAGTAGTTCTTCAAAATGTTCATTTAAATGTTGTATTTTTAAGAGCACAGTTGCTTTCTTCCAACTTCCAGAATATATTACATTTGAAATGGGAAATTCTGTTTTAAATTCACTTGTGTTGTGTTCTTATATTTGGATAGAGTACATACAGCTAGACCATGTATTAGTAAAGAAACAGAGTATGAAAACTTATGGATGATACTCTTAATTAGGACCAAAGCCCAAAAATGTATTTTATCTGTGCTGTGATGGAAGCATCATTTGATATGATTTCATTATACACCAGCTCCCTCAACTCCAGCTTGGGGAAAACCGTCGGGTTTGGCTTGCTGGGAAGAGACATGAATGCAGGAGAATCCAAGCTTTGCCCCCTGACCTGGAGTCAGAGCACAGTGTTAATCTTGAGTCAGAGCAAGTAGATCTCAACACTTCATTGTGTTTAAATGTCTTCAGAGACCTGGTGACTGTATGCCGCAGCACGATTGTCTAGAAACCTTCTGTGTGAAGCTCTATGAGCTGTGTCGGGTCTCAAACTGCGCTTATGTCTCCTCTCAACCAGCACGTTCACTTTTCAAATTGATTTTTAATTGTGAGTCAGCTCTTATTTGCTTAATACTTCTGTAGCCATCATATCCTGATGGCAGACAAGAAATTTCATATGCTCTCTAGAGTGAAAGTAAGTATGGGGCTTCTGCGATTAAACGAACGTCTAAATTTAAAACTTATGCCAGAAGAGTACCTTTAGGTGTGCTTGTAATGTAGTACCATTTTTTGTTGGGACGGGGAAGATATGCCAAAACCCTGCCTGTTTGAAGAAATCGTAGTGTTTTCAATTGTTAATGGCTTATATAAAAAGAGAACTCATTTAAGTGTAAAGGATAGAGATTAATGGAAAAAATGTGATTTCATTCATATTGCTTCACCTCATTCATTGTTCACTAAAGAAGCATTGCCTGCTTGCTTTCCTCTTGTTGTAGCTGTAGATTATTCTTAGCACCAACAACTTGATCTCCTCTTTTTCGTTCTCCAGCATTGCCATGGCAACTAAAGAAAATATGACTTCGCAGAGAGGGATGTTGAAGTCAATACAAAGCAAGATGAATACCTTGGCTAGTATCCTTTCCTAAAAATTTGTGCTGCCAGTGCATAAGAAGAGGTATAGTACGATTTTTCACTCTGTCATTTGGGGATCAAAATGCTTTGCGATGTCAGTGACTGTATAACCTGTAGCGGTATTGTCATGAGTGACAGACAGATCCATTTTTTTTTACCAGTCTCACTTGATAATCTGACTGAAGCATCTTAATGATTAATGTGGTGAATAAGTTGGTTTTACTCAAATTTGAATACTGCATATAAATCAATGTAGCTTAATTTTCAGGTAGAGATCTGCAACGGCATTTTATGGCCTTCTCTGCTATAAGTTCTGATAAAAGTATAATTTCATTTTACTCCTTGCTTTTTGCTTTCAAGACTATCCAGAGCTGAAGCTTGGCATACGTTGCTGCTTGTTGTGGTTTACAGCTGAGAGTATTCATGACCTGAGTATCCTCTTGTCTGTCACAGTCTTGTAGATGTTAAGATTTTGTCTTGTTGGTTTCTCCTCATATTCTGTGCTGATGGTTAAAGAATGTGCCAGATTGTCAAGTCAGGCATGTTTGTTGTTTTTCCCACTTATTCCTTCCTTTCTGTTATAAGGGCCCAAAGAATAGCATTAGCATCATTTGATTAGCTGGATTACATCCTGAAGAGATGTATCTTGGTAACCCATAAATTTCATTACAGTTCTTAGCAATTGGCAAGAACAAAAAAAAAAATTCAATAAGCTTTTGCCTTAAAAGATTCTTGGTTCCAAAGACGTGAAGCTCTGAAACGTATTATCTCGTTGGCAATTGTATTTTGTACATTAAAAGATAGATTTACATCTTTATGATTTTACAGTAGGAGGAGTTCTTCCTTATGTGCTGTACTTGAACAATGCGTAGTCATGCAACGTGCATGATTTTCTGAGTCAAGTGCCTTTGGTTGTTTCCTTCACCAGTAGCAGAATTCCATTAAATAAATTCCACAGATATTTTATGTAACTGCCCCATTTATCTTTTTTTTTTTCATTCTCATTTAAACACAATTATTAAAAGTAACTAAGCCTCACATATTGGAGATTAAAATATATCAAACGCTGGTAATTTAGGTGATCAGGTAATGAATTCTGTGTAAATGTGAACTCTAAGCTCTCTCTTCTCTCTGTTCTTAGTGAAGTACAATTGCAATCCTGCTAACTGTCCATCAGGGTTGGTTTTTTTTTTTTACTGCGTCTGCTTTTGCCAGCTTGGGAGTAGTTCTGCATTTCTTGCAGTATTGGGATTTCCACGTACAGAATTTGGGGCTTGTTACTGAAGATACTGTTTGCTGATACAGCCTTGACTCAGACTCCTTAAAGATCGGTTTCCAGCAGTGAACAGCCTGATTCAAAGGATCAACCTTCGGAAACGACGAGATTCCCTCATCTTGGGTGGCATTATTGGCATCTGTACCATCTTGCTGCTGCTATATGCTTTTCATTGATGGATGTTCCCCCATGGACTCTGCTAAACTCATCACCACGATCCCTCGCCGCCCAGTCAAGGAAAAGTGAGTGGGGGAAGCAACAGACTTCAAACAGCCCGCTCGTCATGGCTGGGACTATCAGCATGATGTCTAGAGCTTACGATGGTAGACTGTGACACTGGGTTTGGGTTGAAGCTGCAGTGTTTCTCCTTCCCTGCCATACATCTTCCTTTGGTTAAATTTTGTAGGATTTGTTTGTCTTTAATTCCCTTTCTCACCACAAGGTAAGTAAATATGGGACACCTACCAGAACTGGTAGAACAGTGGCTGTGATGAGCGGTGCTGGGGAGGTCCGTTGTCGGCTGGTAAGTGGGAAAGGTTTGTTAGGCTTGCCTTGGGTGGAAACTCTGCAGGAAGCCAGTTTCCCCTGTAGGCCAAGCACAGTACTGAACACTTGCCCTGTGAGAAGAATATTGCAGCTTTAAGCCGTCAGGTTGCTTTACTGCTAAATACATGTTCTGTAATTCTTTTTAACTCATGGTTGAGATACTAGTTATTTCTGCATAATTTGTGCTGTGACAACTGTGCTTCACACAAATTCCTCAAAGTAAAAAAAAAAAAAAAAAAAAGTCGTTCAGTTCACTTTTTGCACAGAATATGAATAAAGTACCCTCAGTACCCTCTGAGGAAGACTTGTGAGGTTTCTTGTGGCTTTAAAGGGACTAACAAGTCCCTCTTTGTAAAAAGGGAGCACAGTGTCCTAGCAGCTGTTTACTATAGTGTTCAGTCATCTGAAAAGTGACCAAACATGAGTTCACCTAAAAGTAGTCTTTTGGGTCTACATACTTTGATTTTGGCTGGCATCATGAAAGTCTTTATAAAAAGACATGATAAGCAGTTTGAAAAGTCTATATTGTAATTTAGATAAAGTTATTCTAATAGCGTTAATATTTTTACACTGTAAGTAGGATATAATCTAAACTGTCAATTGGAAATGAAAATTATGATGGTTATACCTTGAGGCAAATGTATCCGAGTGCAAAAGTTTTGGACATAACTCCTCATAGTAAAGAATTGAATGTATGAATACTGAAACAAATATTATTTACCATTATTTGGGAGGAAAAATTTTTTTTTTGTCCAGACATGCAACATGAATCCTGTTGTGTTTGCGTCTCTAAACAAAGCTGACATCAGGAATGGCTTTGATATTGCAGATTCACAAATTATGGATTTTTCTGCTCTTTCAACAGCTCTTTTCCATCTGTCCTGTCATAACCCAATAAATTCAAATTGAGGCACTGAAATACCTTTCAAAGAACTTGATTAACTCTTTTCACAATCAATTTACAGTGCTTCTAACAGATTTCATGTATGCCATTACCCACAAATGTCAGATAGGCTCCAGGTTCTCTTCTGGAGCAAAGTCTAGCAGGACGGATGCAATTTTTTACTGCTTTCTATAGTGTCTGTGAAGTACCTGTTGCAGGGAGTAGAGACTCGTGCCTGTGTAATGTGCAAAATCACACTTTTGCGCCCAGAATGTTTGTATGGATTTAAAGGCTTATCTGCAGACTAAAAACTTCATGCTAAAAATTCAACAAAGACTTCTAATCTGTCATCTTGTCGTTGGGATTAGAAAGCATTTGGAATTAATACGTGTAAAACTGTGGGACTTGCCTTTCAAATAAAGGGTGACTATTTGGTTGATTTGGGAACGTTCCTGGTTTGAAATGAAGTGTTCATTAAAGGGGCTTATGAAAAACCTTCATGGGTAAAGGAGGTTTGTTAATGAATCTGTGTTGGGAGATCAAACCTCTTCTCCACAATGCTTTTTCTTTGATTTCACCACCACCCTAAGGGACCCTGATCAGCAGTCATGCTTCTGTTTAGGATTTGTAGGATTTGGTTGCTGTATAGTTGGCAATATGAGATCTGCAGTACCGTAAATAAATTCACTTATTTAATCTTATAACCAGTGTTTTTACTGGACTTAACTGATTATTTGGTGCATATATTTAATCTTATTGTGTGAAAAAGCTGCTATGGAAAATACATAGATTATAATAAATATGTAAACACACTGATCTTTCATGTTATGAAAATGTTATGGAGGAACTGATATATTTTAGCATAAAATAATGGAAATATGCTGAATTATCTCTGAGAAAGCTTTACTGGAAGTGGTTTCAGTGTGGACCACCCCTCGATGGTTTTTATTTGCGTTGGTTTTGAGACGGAGTTTTGCGTTGGAAAATATATTTAATTAACCTTGTAGTCTCCCCTTCATCATCGTCTTGTAGTCCTCTAGCAATGTGAACAGGCCCTCTGCTTTGCTCTCTGAAGTGGTGTGCTTGCATATAGCCGAGGGGAAGGACTTCCTAATTCTCCTGGACGTCTCTGATAATGTGGACCTGTAGATAAAGCAATGGGCTGTGAAATGAAAACAGTGGATTGTAGTAGTTCATCTGGAATCCCAAAATACAGGTTTGTGTGTCTCCTGTTGCTAAATATGTTCTCTTTAAGTTTTTCATTCTGTGTGGTTCCTCTTGCTCTGAGGAAAAAAAATGTGGTTAAAGAATTCTCATTTCTGTAATTCCTGGCAAAGTTGCAGTTTCGTAACTCAACCAAGTAGAATTGTGCTAAGAAAATTATTGCCAAGTGATAGAAATGAAGGGAGTAAATCCATAATATTTCTACAGGGCACACTTCGCGCGCACACACACGCACTTTTTAAATTTCTACTTTATTCTTGCCAGTACACAAGCACCTACTTCAGACCTGTCCCACAACCCCTTAACCAGGCATTAGAACATCAGGGATCATACTGATAACTTTTGATGCCACACTTCATGCAGATGCGAGTATTTTTATCCTTGCTTTTTAAGAGTATTTTTTTTATATGTTTATCTGATCTTCAAGCGCTGATTGCTAGAGCCGGAGGCATGGCATTTGGGCAGCATTGTGTGTTCGGTCAGTGGGGAGGGTTTGTGTGGCCGTAGCCCGGGCCGCAGCCGTACCTTACCCCCTGCCCTTCCCGGGAGGGTGCCTGGGCAAGGCGGGAGGCAGAGCTTTGCTGTCCTCTGCGTCTCTGGGACCAAGCAGTCTGCTGCTTCTCGTAATACGAGAGTTTGCCCTTCCTGGGAAGGCACAACATTTTTTCTTGACCAATACTGATTTCAGGAGCTTTTGCGTATCGAAATGGTGGCATAAATTAC